ATTTAGCCTATCCCCCCACCCACAACCCCTCCAGCAACCCTGTTTGTTCTTTGTATTTAAGAGTCTCTCATGTTTTGTCCCCTCCCTGCTTTTATATTATTTTTGCTTCTCTTCCTTTATGTTCATCTCATTTGTACCTTAAATTCCTCATATGAGTGAAGTCGTATGATATTTGTCTTTCTCTGACTGGCTATCTTAACTTAGCATAATACCCTCTTGTTCCATCCAGGTCGTTGCAATGGCAAGATTTCTCTTTTTCTGTTGTCAAGTAGTACTCCAGTGTATAAATATACCACACCTTCTTTACCCATTCATCCATTGATGGACATTTGATCTCTTTCCATACCTTGGCTGTTGTCTATAGTGCTGCTATAAACATTGGAGTGCTTGTGCCCCTCTGAAACAGCACACCTGTATCCCTTGGTTCAATAGCTAGTAGTGTAATTCCTGGCTTATAGGGTAGTTCTATTTTTAATAGTTTGAGGCATTCCCATGTTGTTTTCCAGAGTGGCTGCACCAGTTTGCATTCCCACCAGCAGTGCAAAAGAAACCTTCTTTTATTGCATTCTCACTAACATCTGTTGTTGCCTGAGTTGTTAATGTAGCCATTCTGACTGGTGTGAGGTGGTATCCCACTGTGGTTTTGATTTGTATTTCTCTGATGATGAGTGATGTGGAGCATTTTTTCATGTGTCTGTTAGCTATCTGGATGTCTTCTTTGGAAAAGTGTCTATTCATGTGATATTCCTATTTCTTCACTGGATCATTTGCCTATAAGTTCTGTATAGATTTTGGATACTAACCTTTGTCTGATATGTCATTTGCCACATCTTCTCCCATTCCATCGGTTGCCTTTTAGTTTTGCTGATTGTTTCCTTCGCTGTGCAGAAGATTTTTACTTTGATGAGCTCCCAGTAGTTCGTGTTTGCTTTTGTTTCCCTTGCCTCTGGAGACGTGTTGAGGAAGAAGTTGCTGTGGCTGAGGTCAAAGAGGTTTTTTTTTTTTATTTATTTAAAAAAAAAATTTTTTTTTAATGTTTATTTATTTTTTTGGGACAGAGAGAGACAGAGCATGAACGGGGGAGGGGCAGAGAGAGAGGGAGACACAGAATCAGAAACAGGCTCCAGGCTCTGAGCCATCAGCCCAGAGCCCGACGCGGGTCTTGAACTCACGGACCGTGAGATGGTGACCTGGCTGAAGTCGGCCGCTTAACCGACTGCGCCACCCAGGTGCCCCATGAGGTTTTTGCCTGCTTTGTCCTTGAGGATTTTGATGGCTTCCTGTCTTACATTTAGGTCTTTCATCCATTTTGAGTTTATTTTTGTGTATAGTGTAAGAAAGTGGTCCAGGTTCATTTTTCTGCATGTGGCTGTCCAGTTTTCCCAGCACCATTTGCTGAAGAGTCTGTCTTTATTCGATTGGATATTCTTTCTTGCTTTGTCAATGATTAGTTGACCATACATTTGTGGGACCATTTGTAGGTTCTCTATTCTGTTCCATTGATACGAGTGTCAGTTTTTGTGCCAGTACCATACTGTCTTGATGATTATAGCTTTGTATTACAGCTTGAAGTCTGGGATTGTGATGCCTCCAGCTTTGGTTTTCTTTTTCAGGAATGCTTTGGCTATTCAGGGTCTTTTCTGGGCCCATACATATTTTAGGATTGTTTGTTGTAGCTCTGTGAAGAGTTATTTTGTCTTTATTTTGATAGGGATTGCATTGAATATGTAGAGTGTTTTGAGTAGTAACAACATTTTATAAATATTTGTTCTTTCTATCCAGGAGCATGGAATATTTTTCTATTTTTTTGTGTTCTTCGATTTCTTTCATAAGCTTTCTATAGGTTTCAGTGTATAGATTTTTCACCTCTTTGGTTAGGTTTATTCGTAGGTATTGTGTTTTTTGGTGCAATTGTCAATGGGATAGATTTCTTGATATCTCTGTCTTATTGCTTCATCATTGGTGTATAGGAATGCTCTGATTTCTGTCCATGGATTTTATATCCTGTGACTTTGCTGAATTCATGGATCGGTTATAGCGGCATTTTGGTGGAATATTTTGGGATTTCCATATAGAGTATCATGTCGTCTGCAAAGAGTGAAACTTTGACTTCCTAATTGCCAATTTGGATGCCTTTTATTCCTTTATGTTATGTGATTTCTGAGGCTAGGTCTTCCAATATTATGTTAAATAGCAGTGGTGAGCGTGGACATCCCTGTCGTGTTCCTGACACTAGGGGGAAATCTCTCAGCTTTTCCCCAATGAGGATGATATTATCAGTGGTCTTTCAAATACAGCTTTTCTGATCTTGAGGTATGATCCTTCTAACCCTACTCTCTTGAGGGTTTTTATCAAGAAAGGATGCTGTATTTTGTCAAATACCTTCTCTGTATCTATTGAGAGGATCATGTGGTTATTGTCCTTTCTTTTACTGATGTGATATGTCACATCGATTGTTTTGTGGATATTGAACTAGCCCACATCCCAGGTATAAATCCCACTTGGTCATGGTGAATAATTCTCTCAATACATTGTTGGATCCAGTTGGATAGTATCTTGTTGAGGATTTTTGTGTCCCTGTTCATCAGGGAAATTGGGCTATAGTGGTCCTTTTTAGTGGGGTCTTTGTCTGGTGTTGGAATCAAAGTAATGCTAGCTTCACAGAATGAGTTTGGAAGTGTTCCTTCCATTTTTATTTTTTGGAACAGCTTTGAAAGAATAGCTGTTAACTCTTCCTTAAATGTTTTTTTAGAATTCCCCTGGAAAGCCATCTGGCCCTGGACTCTAGTTTTTTTGGGAGATTTTTGATTACTATTCAATTTCTTTACTGGTTATGGGTCTGTTCAAATTTTCTATTTCTTCTGGTTTCAGTTTTGGTCGTTTATATGTTTCTAGGAATTTGTCCATTTCTTCCACATTGCCAAATTTGTGGGTCTATACTTGCTTATAATATTCTCTTATTTTTGTTTGTATTTCTGCAGTGCTGGTTGTAATCTCTGCTCTTTCATTCTTGATTTTATTTGTTTGAGTCCTTTCCTTTTTGTTTTTGATCAAACTGGCTAGGGGCTTATCAGTGTTGTTAATCTTTGTTAATCAGTGATTACTGAAAGGTATGAATTTGATTCATATTGTTGCCTGTAGAGCTGGAGTTTCTGGTGGTGTTGCCTGGTCCTTTCTAGTGTTTGTTGATTTTTTTTTCTCTTTTCTCTCCTCAGAGATCCTACCAGACATTTCTTGCTGGGCTGGTTTAGTGTCCACAAACTCCTTTAGTTTTTGTTTGTTGGGAAACTTTTGATCTCTCCTCTTATTTTGAATGACAGCCTTGCTGGATAAAGGATTCTTGGCTGCAATTTTTTTTTTTTTTTTTCAGCACATTGAATATATCCTTCTTCTCCTTTCTGGCCTGCCACGTTTCTGTGGAAAGGGCTCCTGTTAACCTGAACTGTCTTTCCTTATAGGTTAAGTACTTTTTTTCCCTTGCTGCTTCCATGATTCTTTCCTTGCCTGAGTGTTTTGTGAATTTGACGATGATATGCCTTGCTGATGGTCGGTTTTTGTTGAATCTAATGGGAGTTCTCTGTGCTTCCTGGATTTTAATGGCTGTGTCTTTCCCCAGATTAGGAAAGTTTTCCACTATGATATGCTCACATCAGCCTTCTACCCCTTTTCCTCTGTTTTCATCTCCTGAGACCCATATGATTTTGATGTTATTACTTTTTAATGAGTCATTGAGTTCTCTAATATTATATCATACTCTTTTGCCTTAGTTTCCTTCTTTTTTTCTGCTTCATTATTCTCCATAAATTTGTCCTGTATATCACTGATTCGCTGCTCTGCTTCATCCAACCTCACCACCATGGCAAGCATTTGAGATTCCATCTCAGGTATAGCATTTTTTATTTCATCCTGACTATCTTTTACTTCTTTTGTGTCCGCAGAAAGGGATTCTATGCTTTTTTTCAACCCCAGCTAGTGTTCTTATTATTGTGATTCTAAATTCTGTTCAGACTTCCTGCTTGTATTAAGTTGATTAAGTCCCTCACTGTCATTTTTTCCTGTTGATCCTTTGTGGCGAATTCCTTCATTTTATTATTTTGGAGTAAGAAAAGGGATTAATAAAGTAAATAAAAATTAAAATTAAAAAATTAAAAATAACACACAAAAAATAAAATAAAGGATTCTAGCTCCTAGGTTTGTTTTGGTCTGGTTGTTATAAGAAGCTTGATAGAATAGAGAATGAAGGTAAAGAAAAGAAAACAAATGGAAAAAAACTGAAAACATTTGAAATTTTAAAACATGAATACAACAAAGTAGAATAAAATGAAATGATGAAAATCAAATAGAATTTAAAAAAAACAAAAAAGTAAAAAATATAATAGAAAAATTTAAAGAAAGATCTTTTTTATAAAGACAGAAAATAAAATAAAAAAATTTTCCCTTTGTTTCAACAGTAAGAAAAGAATAGAAAAAGAAAAATATTGAATAGATGGACCAGGAAACAGAATGAAATACGATCAAAATTACATCCAGTTTCCCCTAGAAGTCAAACTATGAAGCACTTTATAGTCTGTAAACTAAGCAGCAGAGAGATTGGTCATGTTCCTCTAGATTGTGGTTGGCCCAGTTGGGCACTGCTTGGTGTAGCAACTCCGTTCTGCACTAGATGACTCTGCTTAGTTTAATGGGGTTGATCACTGTGGTGCATGTAAGTGCTTATGCGCATATGTGGGAGGGGAAAATGGTGTCATCCAGCTACCCAGTCTCTAGTATCAGAACTCTGTGCTCTCCCTGACTGGCAATCAAGCACCCTTCCTTTGTCTCTGGCTTCCATCCACTCCCCATTTCTCCACTGTCTGTGACCAAGCTGTCAGCTTGCCAGAGGACACCTCCCTCCCAAATTTTATCTCAGATAGGGCAATGTTTACAAACTCCCCATTTCTGAGGGCCAAGCAGCTTTGACCCTCTCAGACCCTGTGGGGGAGGGTCCACCAAGCAATGTCATGGTGCCCGCCCACCCCTGGTACGTTTGTGTGACCGTGCTGCTGCAGATGCCCAGAGATTGTGGCCAGGTG